TTGTTGTACATAATTAACGCGTATGATTTTATTACTATTTCATAATTTTGCAAGTTATCTTTTGTTTTACATTACTATTTTTTGAATTGTTCTAACACGAAACACTATATTTTTCAGAGATGGCACGTCAGGATACACCTCAGTTGTTGGACCCGGCGATAGATCACCGACACCGGTCTCACCTTACTGTGGTGCATGGGGCTCAGCTTGGGACGTTCCGGGCACGGACGTGCGGTGAGCTACTCACGGTTCACGACTCCTTTGTCGAGAGGTACGAACAGTGTTTTACTATAAGTTAGTTGCACTGCAATATTTTTTATAATGACATATTAATTTGTTATTGCAGGCTACGTGAGGCCGGCCTCCTACCGATGTGTCGGCTGGTGGAGGCTGCGGCCGGCGACGCGGACCCGGCCAGACGATGGACCGTGGACAGGTCGCTCGTAGCAGCTTTGGTCGATCGATGGAGGCCAGAGACGCACACTTTTCACTTGCCGTGCGGTGAGGTAGCCCCTACCCTACAGGACGTATCGTACTTGTTGGGGCTACCGCTCGCGGGAGACGCTGTTGGGCCAGTGACCACGGCTGTGGACTGGCAGGACGATCTGACGGCACGTTTCGCACTAGTACAGCGCGCACCGCACCTCCCGCTCGAGCCGTTGGGACACCACCGCAACACCGGACCTACGAAGAGGTGGCTGCTTCAGTTCACCGTGAGTGTTTTTGTACCGAAATGACAATCGTATTACATATTTAGTCCGCAGTTAAGGTGCCTAACATTTTATCGACTGCTTGCAGGTTGAGCAGCTACAGGCGGACGCCGACGAGTACTCGTACAGCCGATGTTTGGAGGCGTACTTGCTCTGGCTTTTTGGCTGGGTGATGTTCTGTGGCGGTCACGGGCACGCGGTCGACAAGGGACTCGTGCACTACGCCAGGAGCATCGCCGACGCCGCGGTAGGCGAGGTGCCTCAGTGGAGCTGGGGTTCCGCGTTGTTGGCGGCTCTGTACCGTGCACTTTGTGAGTCTTGCACGAAGACGGATCCCAGCGCGACCTTTGGTGGGTGCCCTCTCTTTCTTTCTATCTGGGCAGCTGAGAGGATTGCGATCGGCCGCCCTGAGGTGGACCAGCACGCGTACGAGGAGTCACTGTACGAGGAGCGACCAGAGGTCGACTACCCTACGATGGGTACTCTGTGGTGCCGTCGTCAGGTACGTTGCATCGATCTTAACGTATTGTTAAGTTAATTGCTAAGTTCATTGTACATCACATCAATCGTCTCGTATTGCAGCGCCGATGGGCTCACGTCCAGGTTAGGCGGTCGTATCCTGAGTTTGTTATGGTGTTCGACCGCCTTCTGACGACTGACGTCGTGTGGGAGCCCTACAGTGCCGCGGCTACCCAGGCTCGTGCGCCGTTGGGTCTGTCCACACTCTGCACCAGGGACCAGGCGTACTGGATGACTACGGTTCCGATGGTCTTCGACATCTGCGTTGAGCCTCACGCCCCTTTCCGCGTGATGCGGCAGTTCGGCTTCCGTCAGCCCTTTCCAGTACCGTTTCCGACCACCGTCCAAGCTGCTGTTCACCGGTAAGATCTTGCACTACGCTTTCCGTTGTTGCATTAAAATCTGCCTGTTTACAATAATTTGTAACATCTGTCGTTTCACACTAATATTACACATTAATTCGCAGGTACTCGCGCAAGGGTCAGCATTCAGCTGGCTACTAGCCCACCAAGTTGGCGACTTTTGTTGAGGACTGGTTGCTCGCAACCGAGGAGGTCGTGGACCACGAGGGAGAGTCACACACTGAGGAGTCGTACCAGGCCTACCTACGCTGGTACCAGCCACGCACCCGTACTAGGGTCACCTTCGCTCCCTTGGAGCAGCAGCCCCACGTTGCGAGCACTAGAGACCTCTACGCCAGGCACCGCGACCAGGACTTCGCTCGTGTTGTGAGTACCCTGCATCGCACCATTCCTTTATGTTTTCATGTCTTTCTTATCGTCAAATTTTACGAATATTTATGAACAAATTAACCATGCAGGTCGACGACATCAACCGGGTCGTCGTTGACGGTTCAACGACGATCCAACGTTTAGACGCGGGAATTCCGGTAACCGTAGAGGAGCACCTGACGACGTACACGCGGATGGTGGAGTCGATGCGCTCGATTCTCCGAGTGCTCACCTGTCGTGCAGACGACGTTGCTCGGGCAGACGCAGCTGTACAGCGGCCACCCGTACCGACTGGTCCCCGTCCAGCTGCGCACATTCCTAGGCCGACTCCCCCTCCACACGGAGGTAAGTATTTTTATTACTACTTCTGTACATGCCTCGCACATATAAGTGAGCCGTTTCACTTGCCGATTGCTTCAGGGTTTCGTGCACCGTTCAGCACCCCGCCTTCCTCGGCTAGGCCTTCTGTTGTGCCCCCCACAGGTACTTAAAAAAACAACATTACTTCCACAATCAATTTACATACATTTTATGTCTTAGCTTACAAGGGTCCCGTTGTCGATGTGTAGGTTTCGCCCAGTTCGCTATGACGCAGGCCGCCCACTTCTCCCAGGCTGCATGGTCAGCGTCACAGGCAGCCGGCACGTCGAGTCAGGGTCCACCACTGGACCATGCTGGGACCTCGTCGGACCCCTTCCTGTCTTCCACCGTGCTCTTCGACATCACTGACTTCGACTTCGCTTCAGGCTCGACAGAGGACGTCATCGGCCCCTCACAGCTGGGAGGCGCACCGCCGGTGCAGACGCAGGACCAGGCGCAGGCCACTCCTCCGCGGGACACTCGTGCTACCCGTGCTGTGCCACCGGATCGTTTCACCTACTCTCAGGACCACGTGCGAGCACAGGCCCGGAGGACCAAGCGTGGTCGCGGCGCGGGGCAGGGCCAGTAGAGCAGTCTTCTGTTTGTTTACTTGCTTCACTTTCCAGTACTGTATGCTTGTGTAATGACTACGTTGTTGTTATATGTGCACGATACCTTTCGGCAAAGGCACGATACCTTTCGGCGCATGCACGACTACTTTCTGCCGCACCGATGCAGCCTCCTTTATTCGCGTATGATACGAGTATTTGCCCGCCATTTGGCGCATACGACCAATGTAACTTTCGGCGCCGATCATGCATGTATCTTTCGGCGCCAATCAGGCGTACCCACCATACCCCACCACGTTCACATGTCAGGGGTATCACTCGATTTTTTGCGCCTATATAAGTCGCCTTAACGAGTGAGGCCTCACAATCTTTCAGAACTCAGTCACATTCAGTACTCTCTTCCCCACTTGCTTCATTACAAATCCGACCGGCTTTCGTCAATGGCTAGACGCCGGGGTGTTGAGGATCCAAACTGGCGTAGCGATCCTTGTGTATACCTACTACCACCTTGGTGCCAGCGTCCTCTCTGCCTATGCGGTGATCGATGCCAACTAATGGCTTCGAGGAATCCTGATATTCGAGGAAGGCGCTTTTTTAGGTGCCCTAACTATGACCGTGAGGTATTTTATTATCTGCATATGCTTATTCATTCCGTATGGGCAATCGCTTTATTCTTCGTAACACTACTCTATTCGGCAGACCCGCACTACGGCTTGCGCATACATCGAGTGGGTCGATACAGAAAATCCCGTTCTCGACCTAACCACTTGTTTACAAGAAGGTCGCTGGTATTTCGCATCCGAAAGTACTGAGCAATACTTATAGAGAAAAGCGGCTTATGAACGCCAATGTCGTGAACAACAGAGCGACTGGCGGGTGCTAACTACGGCACTCCCTCCATGGGAAGCCCGTCCAAGATGCAGGTGTGGTGATCGTTGTCAGGTTCTTCGTTCCATAAATCCTACAACATTGGGTCGAAGGTTCTTTGTTTGTCCAAATATTCTTGACGACGATTTCATGGTAAAAATATTTTGATTACATGATTCCTTATTTTCTCACAATATTTACTAACTTTGCTTGCTTTACATCTATTCTTTCCTCCCAGGAACCACCAAGGAGATGTCAATACAGAGAATGGATAGACACCAGAAGGGTTCTAACTCCACCTAGCCGTGTTGTGCAGCTTGAACTACCAGAGCAATACAGGGTTACTAAAGCGCGGTTTGAGAGAGGAGAGGGATCCTCACGTAGGGGTTAGCTATTATCGGACAACTTGGCATATTGAAATTTCTACTGTCATGCTTCCTTGTCCCATTACTACATCGTCGTTGTGTTCAACTATTGCACTACCTCCCTCCTAGTTCGAATCTAATATCATCTATGTAACCGCAATGCAAATAGTTGTATCATGTTCAAATTGTACTACTATTTCTTCATGTTACATAATTCTCCTTGTTTAAGTCCATATAATGTTTCTACGACCTAGACTGCGATAGGCCTATATAAATTATCCGAGTACTAATACGTCGAATAAGGTACAAAATAATACCTCACTTAACATATGAAATTGCGCAACAACCAACTTCAATACATTTTTATAACAATATTAACAAGTTTTACCAATAAATACTTCTTTATTTATTATTAACATAACATAGAAAAATCTTTTGGCCGTACTTTTTTCATCTGGGTCCCTTGCCGCCCTATATTGAGGCGGCAAGGGACCCAGATGAAAAAGTACGGCCGCAAGCTCTGAATGGGCGGCCAAAATTGCAATTAGCCCCTTGTCGCCCTCGGGCCTAATCGCAATTTTGGCCGACGGCGGCAGACAGCGCGGTCGACCCACCGTCTGCCACGTCAGCTTGCCGCCCACCAATTGGGCGGCAGGGGCTATTTCTGCAATTTTTTTGGTCGATAGATTATTTCTGTAAATATTAAAAAAAAATCTAAAAACGAAAAAAATTCAACAGTAGCAGAGTAATTGCTAATGGGCCTTTCGTCTTAGATGGGCCTCCAAATCAATATGACTAGTCCGGAACGAGTACTACTGTGATTAGAAATCTCGGCCCATAGAAAGCCCATATATAGCCAACAGCCCAGCGTAATTAATTGACCTCGGTCTCCTTGCTCCCCTATCTTTACCCTAGTCGATCTCCCCGTCGCTTCGGTCTCGACTCCTCGTCTCCTCGGCCGCCGCCGCCGCCGCCGCCGCCGAGCAGAGGCGATCTCCACCCGCGAGCAGCGGCGCCGTCGCCGGTGTGCTGCTTCTCCCGTCGGACCCTCGCCGGTGAGCACACGTACGCTTATCCTCTTTCTCGTTCCTCTCTACCCACAGCTTTTCTCTTCGCCTTAACCCTAGCTTCTCTTGTAGATCCGGAAGCTTTTCTTACTTGCCCTTTAACCCCTAAACCTTAGTACTAGTAGCAATTCGTTTCCAGCAAGATTTGGGGATTCAGCTGAAAACCCTATGCCTTACGTTAGATCCGCTAGCTCACTCTTGTTTGCTATTCTGTTGTGTTACAGTTCAAGATGCCTCGCTATGATGACCGTGATCGCTACGATGACCGTTACGGCGGCAACACGAGGCTGTACGTAGGTCGTCTTTCCTCGCGCACCCGGACCCGGGACCTTGAAGACCTTTTCGGCAGATATGGGAGGTAAGCATGTTGCAAATTGGGTCTAAGTTGTACTCCAGTCTTTCAAGGCAGAATTTCTGAGTTGTTCATTTGAGTCAAAAGATACTACCGACAAGCGTAACTTGCTTTGTAGATTCTAGATTGGTTCGGTGAAAGTATCTCACTCTAACCTCATTTGTTGATTTGGGCATGTGATAAGTTAATACAAAGTTATTACCTATAGAACCGATGACAGACCTTTTTAGGTTCTAAGTGACAAGTTCCTCAGTCCTAAGATTCTATGAGCTTTTCTTCACCTTGTTAAAAAATTTGGAACAGAAAATTAGAGGCAACTCTTCATTCTTTTTGTGTAGTCATCCCCACGGTTTCTTGATGCTATGCCTTTCAATGCAAGAGGTCTAGGCCAGCAGCATGCTGTTCTGTTCAGAGCATTCTTTCTCTGATATTTTTCTTACCATCACATATCCACGAGACCTTCATGTTTTAACTCGGATGATCTTGTTGAAGGTTTTGGGGGCTTTCCCAACCTCGGTGTCCATGGTGGGAGGGTGCCCTTCGTGGAATTGGTGGCTGTCCCTCTAAAGTTTCTAGCAGACTTTGGCAATTCTTTTGATAAATTATCTTGATGTTTTAATGGAAATTGCAAACATTGACTGGCGTTTAGTTCCTTCTGACTGGTGAAACATTTATCTACTTGCATCTTGATGGTGTTACTCTTTGTCGATACAATTTCCGCAGAGTGCGATATGTGGATATGAAGCACGAGTTTGCATTTGTTGTAAGTAAAACACTTGCCTTATGTTTCCGATAATATTTATTTAATCAGTTATCAGTACACTTCATTTACAATGTTTACACGAGGCCACCTCTTGTTTGCTGGATAATAGGAATTTAGTGATGCTCGGGATGCTGATGAGGCAAGGTACAACCTGGATGGTCGGGACTTTGATGGAAGCCGCATGATTGTTGAGTTTGCTAAAGGGGTAATCATATTTATTTTTATTATTCCCAGAATATTGTATGTATTTTATGTCTCTATCTTGTTTATATGCTTTGATGATCCTACTTTATAATTTTACTCAATCTAAATATGCTATTCATGCCAATTTTAGGTTCCACGTGGCCCTGGAGGATCACGTGAATATATGGGCAGAGGACCACCACCTGGTTCTGGCCGCTGCTTTAACTGTGGGATTGATGGGCACTGGGCCCGTGACTGCAAAGCTGGAGACTGGAAAAACAGATGCTATCGGTGTGGAGACAGGGGCCATATAGAAAGGGACTGCCGGAACAGCCCTAAGAATCTCAAGTAGTTCCTGTGAGATTTCCTTTTTATAAGCATAATTGTTGAATATAAGGTTTTAAATGTATTGTATCTTGATGATAATAGGCGTGGAAGAAGCTACTCAAGATCCCCATCCCCTCGTCGTGGGAGGAGCCGTGGTAGGAGCTACAGCAGGAGCCGTAGCAGGAGCTACAGGTATGGAAAGGAGGATATCATTTCCTTGATTTCAACATGGGAATCTCTTACTTATCTTATATGTGATCATTATTAATTTTAGCAGTCATGATCTTCCTATTGAGTTCTGAATGTATGTTGATTCATGTTGATTTTGCTAGGACTGGTTAATTGATTTATACTTGCAAAAAACTAATCTATTGGATGTTAACCAGAAAGTCTCCAGATCACTCTTATAAAACTGAGTTCATCAGTTGCTTAATTTCTCCCCCTAATCCTCATGTTCTGCTTAATTTGTATCAAACACTGATGGCTTCTCCATTTTGTTTTGACAGCCGCTCCCAGTCTCCAAGGAGGGATAGCCGTAATGAAAGGAGATCAAGGAGCCCTCGTGACAGTCGGAGCCCTAGGGGAAGCCCCCGTGACAGTCGCAGCCCTAGGGGGAGCCCCCGTGACAGTCGCAGCCCTAAGGGGAGCCCTCGCGACACCCAGAGCCCTAGGGGAAGCCCTCGTGATAGCCGCAGCCCTAGGAGAAGTGCTTCACCACCCAACGGGAGGAACCGCAGCCCTACCCCTAATGCCAGCAGGAGTCCTGCACCAAGGGACAGCAGGAGCCCAATGAGAGCTGACAGCCGTAGCCCTGCTGACCATGAGCGCCGTGACATGAGTACAGCTGCCAATGGCCGGAGCCCAAGCCCCAGGGATTATGAAGACAATGGCAATCATCGGGCCTCGCCTAGAGGAAGCGCATCCCCTTGAATGAGAGGAAGCACATCCCCTTAAATGAGATGTTAGGGGATGTATCAGTCTTAAAGTTTATGAATCAATTTAAACCTGTTGGAGATTTTAGTCATATCTATGAACCTGTTGGGATTTGAGTGGATCTGTATCCTATTTGTTATTGACGCCTTTCATAAGTTGATAGACCATGCCATCTGTTGGTTGTACTCCGAACTGCATAAAATGGAATTTGCGGCCCACCGCGGTTTCTGGAACATATCGGCTATTGCTTGCTCTTGCTAATATTTTTGTATGGATGCTAATTAGGCCTTGCAGTCTTGCTGTCCGGCCCCATCCAGTACCTGCTTCCAGAAGGTAGGCAAAAGTTTGAACTGTGTAGTATTTCTGCTCAAACATAAATTATGAGACTCGCATGTCTTTCATTCAAGCATATGTTTGAACTCCATTGTAGGGACAGTACAAAATTTTCACTGGTAAGTATATTTTAAATTCTAAGTATGTCTTTGTTCACTTTTTCCGACTGGATACTGGAGAGGTGAATTTTGACCTGGAATGTTCAACAATGAACTGACCAGTCTGAAGATGACTAATTCATGATCTGGAATGTTTGAAGATGACTGATCAGTATCATCTCCCGCGCACATTGACCATTTGCCAGAAGATTCCTCTCATGGAAGCATCGGTGTAATCATCATCTACCACACTGCTGTCCTCGTCGGCGTCCGTCCTGCCGGTCTCGCTTTCGCCGGCGCTTCTCTGACGAGCGTGCAAGCTCGTCGGCGGCATCAGCTGATGAACCATGTTGAGGCTGCTCACGTCGGAGGCGTCGAGGCCGTCCACCTCCTGCAGCCGCGCCACGAACTGCAGGCTCCACACGACGTCCTCCATCGCCGGCCGGTCGGCGCCGCGGTCGGCGAGGCACCTGGCCACCGTCTCGCCGTACTTCCTCAGCGCGGCGGGCCTCACCGTCCCGGCGATCCGCCGGTCGACGATCTTCTCCAGCTCGTCCCTCCGCTGCCAGTGCAACCCCCACTCGACGAGGTTCACCATCGGCTTGGGCAACCTCGGGTCGACGACGGGGCGCGCGCACAGCGCCTCGAGGAGCACGACGCCGAACGAGTAGACGTCGGACTTGGCGGTGAGCTTCCTCGTCCTCACGTACTCCGGGTCCACGTAGCCGAAGCTCCCCTTCACCGCCGTGCTGACGTGCGTCTCGTCCATGTCCGGCCCGGCCTTGGAGAGGCCGAAGTCGGCGACCTTCGCCGTGAGGCCGTCGTCGAGCAAGATGTTCGACGACTTGACGTCGCGGTGAATCACCGGCTTGGCGGTGGCCGTGTGCAGGTAGAGGAGCCCCCTCGCCGCGCCGGCGCATGCCTCCAGCCGCTGCGCCCAGCTGAGCGCCGTCGCCGTCGCCGTCGCCGCGCCGCCGCCGTACAGGCGGCTCCGCAGCGAGCCGTGCTCCATGTACTCGTAGAGCAGGATCATCTCATCCTGCTCGTCGCAGTAGCCGATGAGGGAGACGAGGTGACGGTGGCGCAGGCCGGAGAGCATCTCGATCTCCGTGCGGAACTCCCGCGCGCCCTGCCGCGACTCCGGGTTCGCGCGCTTCACGGCGACCTTGGTGCCGTCCTGGAGCACGGCGGCGTACACCTTCCCGAACCCGCCCTCGCCGATGACGAGGCCCTCGTCGAAGTTGCCCGTCGCGTCCTGCAGCGCGGCGAACGGGAAGCGGTAGCTCGGGGAAGACGAGGCCGCCGCGGCCATGCCGGGAGTGGCGCCTCCTCCTGGAGTGTTGGCGTTGGTGTCAATGGTGAAGCTGGGCGACCGTGACCCGACGGCGCTCGGCGGCGCGCTGCGGAAGCTGATCCGGCCGAGGAGCGGCATCCATGCCGTCGACGGCTGGCTCGTCGTCGGCGTCCGCAGCTCCTCCTTCTCCTCTTTCCTCCTAAGAACAATGACAAGAGCAGCGGCGACGGAAACGAAACCGAAAGCTCCACAGACTGAGCCAAGAACGACGGCCAAATTGTTCTTCTTCTTCGTTCCCGGCGGCATCGTTGGCTCGACGACGGCGACGTTGCCGGCGGTCGTGAGTATCCTCATGATCTCTAGGCCATTGAGAATGGCGGCAGGTGTCGTGATCTTCTGCGACGTCGACCCAACGTAGACGGCGAGCTTGCCGGATGGAGTGCTAGCAGCCAGCACGAAGTCTCTGTAATACGGGAACGCCAGCGTGCCATTGCCAATGGCGGAGAGGTCGAGATCTTGAATCGCGTTGGAGCTGTCGACATAGGCGTTCATGTGGAGGCGGCCAGGCACGCTGCTCACGATGTCACAGAAGTGGAACCTGATCAGGTAGCTCGCCGACCTGCCGACGTCGAACTGCCACGCCATTTGTTTCATGCCGTCGTCCGTCGAGTTCGTCATGATGATAAGCTCCCTGCCGGTGGCGTAGACGATGGCCGGTGCGTCGTTCGCCGTCGCTTGCCCGGGCAGGTAGTTCGGTGTTCGATTGTAAGAAACTCCTTTAGTCATTGCGGGTCCAACCAATAATTGCTGGTCACTAGTCCATTCTCGCCAGAGCGTGTCGCTGTCGGGCGCCACCGCTTGGCCGCCCACATTGACCCGATAGACCGTTTGCAGCGGCATCACGGCAGGGTTGAGCTGCTGGCCAGTGGAGTCGGACGTCGACAGCGACGAGTCAGCAGCGCCGATGAGGTCGTCGGGGACCGAGACGACCTCGATGGCGTTGACGAACGCGAGCCTGCCGGCGAGCGGCACGAACGTGACGACGAGCGTGTCGCGCGCCACGTCCAGCAGGAACTCCTCGCACACCGCCGCCGCCGTCGCCGTCGTCGTCGTCGTCGACGCGTTGCCCCTCGCCGCCGCCGCCGGCGCGAAGCCGTCGAGCAGGACGGCGTCCTGCGTCGACACCTTGAAGCTCGCCGTGGCGAGGTCGTAGCCGAGGTACACGAAGGGGAAGAAGTGGAGGCGGACGAAGTGGCGGCCGGGGTCCCTGATCCGGAACGAGTAGGACGACGGCGCCTTGAACACCCTGGCGCTCTGGTACATGGCGGCGTCGTCGCGCAACCCGGACACCGCGCTGGGCGAGGCTTTCACCGCGTCACTCGCCGGAGATGTCAGGACGACCGTGCCCGAGTCGTCGGCGACGAACAGCCGCTGGCCAACCGGCGTGTCGACCGATGAGCCGCAGCTGATGAGGTAGTTGTCTACTGGAGTGTATGCAGCAACAAGGCTGATGCAAAGAACTGACAAGATCTCAAGAACGCCTAGAGCTGACCGGAGTTTGATCATCTTGGCAGTGGAAATTTGAACTTCAATTTGGATGGCACAATTGATGATGAGTACCTAAAGATCAAATCATGAGAAAGATAAATCTTCAGTTAGTACTTCCACATGAGATTGAGATTGATCACATCAGTACGAGTTCATAGTTCAGTTTCAAAGCCATAGACGAATTCAGGGTTCAGTTTCACAACAATACTGGAGAAACCCACAGAATATTACTCTCTTTTTTCAGCACAAAAACAAGGGCATTTAAATTGATGTACCGAGCGCTCAAATTTCGAACAATCTAACTTAAACAATCACAGGTTTAGGCAGAAATTTAGCTATGCTCCATCAAAAGTAGCCAAAAAAACTCCATAAAAAATTACCAAAAAAATCCATTCAGGAGAACAAAGTGGCAGAATTCGGAAAAGGAAGTAGTACCTTTGCAGGAAGCTCTGGAAAAGCTTCAGTTTTTCCTTGTCCGAAACAGCTAGTACAACATAAGAGAACACCAGATAGAAGAAAGGTAGAAGACAGTCAATAGAAACTAAATCAAAGAACGTATATATCCAAACGAGGAGCTCACGGCTCACGTGTTTTGAGAAGCTCACACACAAACACAAGGAGAAGAAAGGGAGAAAACCTTGTGCTACAACTCGTTTTCTCTCAAGACTCGTTTTTTCTTGAGACTTTTGTGTTAGAAATCGGAAGCATGGTGGCCTTTTCCTCTCGAGGGTATGAAAAGAAATGCAGTCAGTGTCCTGTACTCTGAAAACAAAAGGGAATTCATGGCTGACTGGAATTAATACTGACAAGATACACTCAGAAACTGATGCCGTGTTATTATTGCAAGATACTACAAACTTCAGAGATTTTTCTTGGAGCAGCAGTGCGGTCATCTACACATGGCTGGCAATTCGGCATGCGTATCCTGAGCAACAGATTACAGGAGCAACACGACAATGTTCAGAGAAAGACCTTCGTTTTCCACGGCTGCCATGGACGCGAAAATCGCTGTCAGATGCGACCGAACTGAATGCCTCGTCGGCCCACTCGCCTGTATGTTTAGCGAGTTGCTGGTATTATATCAGAAAATATTTTTGCAATTTTGCGTGTTCTTGGGAGTGGAAAGGAAGACCGTCTCACCCCGTTGTGTAAAAGAAGTATGTGGCATTTGGATCTTAGCATGCAACTACAGTGATACAATAGGAAGCAAGTGTCTGGTCACAGGAATGAGGAATCCGTTGAAGTCAATGGAAGGCGGTGTTTAGTTTCAAAGTTTTTTTTCAAACTTCTAGCTTTTCCATCACATCAAAACTTTTCTACACGCACAAACTTCCAATTTTTCCGTCACATCGTTTCAATTTCAACCAAACCTCCAATTTTGACGTGAACTAAACACAGCCGAAAATGGGGTGCAAAGTTGTCTTGTCGACCTCTGCATTTCCTTTTTGATTGATTGAAAAAGAACAATTTTTAGAAAGTGGTTTGAACCATTTACTAGTAGGTGATACTTTGCACTGTGCTCGGGATTTATGTATGAGTATATATTAAATATTATAGAAATAGTATATGTACTTATATATTGAGCTCTATAATATAATATATTCTAGATGATGTGTCACATTTGCATGAGATTTAAAATGGTCTAAGATAATAATTGCTAGTGAACGATGATGTGACATACTTGTATGATAAGTTTAGTTTTTAATAATTACTAATGGGTATCTCTTACTCGAAAAAAATACTCCATCCGTTTCACAATATAAGTCATTCTAGCATTTCCCACATTCATACTGATGTTAATGAATTTAGATATATATATATATATATATATATATATGTCTAGATTCATTAGCATCAATATGAATGTGGGAAATGTTATAATGACTTACATTGTGAAACGGAGGAAGTAATTGCTAATGGATATCAACTATATAGAAAATATAAATTACTAAGAAAGAAAGCAGCTTAGACTTGAGAGGATTTGGGCCAAGCTGGGCTACCATGAAAAATGCCTCATTTGGAAATGTTATGTTAGATACGCGGGCTAATAAATCCTTTAAATTAAAGCATTTTCATACGATTTTAAAGGATTTAAATCCATAGAAATATTTTCTAACTTGATTGTTTGGAACATAGGATTAGAAGTTGATAAATTCCTTTGGATTGCTTTCCCTTAGTCCAGTTCCACAACGCATATTTTCCCATCATCTCTCTAGAAAGCTATCAAATTCATGTGATATTTTCCTTTGAGATATCTAGACACATCACCTTTTTAATTCATGTGCCTTATTTCAATTATGCGTTTTTTTTTATTCTTGCGTTTTTTAAAACCATGTGTTTCAAAAAGGAGCGCTGAAGAGTGGGAGTAATCTAACCCAAATAGCCTAATGTGAGGCTTGACTAGTCTTACTCCAAAGTTAGTGCCGGGATAAATGAATCCATTGTTTGTTGGGGAGATAACTTTTCCACAACAAACAATTCCAAATGTTTAGTTCCATATAGGATGCATAAGTATGACCAGGAAATATAGATAAAAATGTTAGCTGCAATTATTTTGTTGTTTTATAGTCCAAAAAAAGTTCTCGAAAGAGTAATGGCTAAATAACGAGTACAAGACAAATCTAACGATCCACTAGTTGATTAGTAGTTGAGCACCAATCAGTCACATGAGTACATGACCTTCATCCCTTTTCATGTCCATTCAGATTTCAGAACAGACAACAGAACCGCATAGCTCTCCCAATCCAAACAAGAAAAAAATATTTTATTACCAGATAAAAAAAAAGAGAAAAGGAATAAAGGGAAAAAGAAAAGAAGAAGAAGAAGAAGAAGAGAGAGAGAGAGCGAAAAGTACACGAAATCTCTTCAGTTCAGAAACTTTCAGTGTTGGAGAACTTGGAACTCCCCTGAAGAAGCCCCGGTCGCGGGAGAGGAGTCCAGTCGAGACTCGAGACAGCGCCGCGGCATCCCACCCCCACCTACCTCCGCCGCCGCCGTTGTTGTGGTGATTGATCCCGCCGCCGACCGCCGCCGATGTCGTCGTGGCTGCGGAGCGCGGTGAGCAAGGCCGTCGAGGCGGGCGGCCGGAGCGGCGTCGCCCGCGCCGTGCTGGGCTACGCCGACGCCGTCGCCCACCACGCCGGCCAGGCCGTCGCCGAGGGCGCGAAGATCCTCAACGACCGGATGGTGAGCGGCTTCTACCCCCGCCCCCCCGCCGTTTCCCTCCCTCGCCCCCTTCTCTCAGAAAGCCCCTTTCGATTTTTGTCCTGGGACGTGCTCTCTCGTTTTGTGTTGAGGAGGTGCCAAACTTGCAATTGGAAGTGGGAAGTTAGTCAAATGCGAGTTTGTTCTTGGACATGTGTTCGAATTAGATATAATTCGAGTTCAATTCGTATGAATTTAAGCAATCTTATAGTGTTGGGATGATCTCATGTCCATGATCTGCTGCACGGTAGTAAGACAGTGTCTTGTACTGTTATGAAGGAAAAGGGGCTTTAGATTAGCTTGATGCTATTGCAGTGTAAAATGTAAATAGAGTGTAGTCTTGTGGTTTCTAGATACCAAATGCTATGTTTCTGATGGTGGCTTGACTTTTTGGGTCAAAATGCCTCCTAACTCGTCTTGTGTAACGTGTTCTTTTTGGGATTACAGAGCACTCAAAACTACAAAAGTGTCAAGAAAATGGTGAAGCGCTTGGAAGAGGCCGCGGTTTCATCACGCGGGGAGGATAGGCTTCAGGTGCTAAGGCACTGGCTCAGGGCGCTACAAGAGGTTGAGGCTCAACTTGGAGGTCTAGATGGGGCTGCCGAACAGAATGCCCATTCAAGTGAACCGAACACCTCAAAACCACCATTTGCAAGAGTATGCATTTGCTAGTCTAATAATTTGGCTTTCCGTGTCTATGTATAGGCATACCACATATCTTCTTTAATTACATGGTTTCATGTGTTCTAAAATTGACCCGCATTGGCAGGTTTTGTTTTATGATGCTGACATTGGAGGAGCTCCGATGAACTTTCGAGATGTGTTTCTCTATAGCCAGGCACTTGAAGGTATTACGTTGTCCATGGTAAGTTGGTTCAATCAAGATACCATGTATTTCAGCTGCCCTAACTAATTCAATTTTTGAGTGAACCTGCTTGTGCCTTTTGTTATATACTGCTATTGTGAGGACTGAGGAGTGCCTTGGTGTTCCTTTAGAAAAAGCGTTCACCAATATCTAAGCAACTTAAATTAGTTATTGCTGTGGGTTGTGTAACTCATCCAAATCTGTGCCTATGCCCAAAACTAAGTGTACCTCAGCTAATTCTTCCATGTGTTCGCTCAATGTCCACAGCTAATAAACTGATCTGTTCATACTATTAGTCTTCTCACCTGTGCAACATTTGAAGGACACATAGTATAAACACCTTCAACTGCAGGGTTGGTACCTTTTCACATAGATGTGTAGCATGGGTGGCATGCATCCTGTAAATTTGGTTTCAAAAAGATAATGAAAATAACACAAACTAATGTTGGCTTCTTAACTCTGAAGTTTTAAAACTCAGGCAATTTTTTTCCTTCAGGAGAGCATAAAAGCACCTTTGTGTTTTTTTTTTTTTTGGAAGGCAATGCTATTTTTTGCTAAAGCACTCATAGAAGTTAAGCACAGTAATCCTTATCATTCTCAGATTCTTCAAGCTCCTAATGAAGAAGAGGTTCCCCTGCTTTTGGAAATTTTCGGGTGAGCTTATTGCCTACATGATCTATTTGTAAATGCCTCCTGTATTTCACTACATGGATTTGACATCCTTATGCAAAAGTTTATGATCAAACTCAAATTGCATTTACAAGATTCAAAAATATAAAATATTTGATGGACAATTCTAATTAACTATTCATCGCAGAGTTTGTCTTTTCCAGTTTCCTGTGTTCATACAATTCTGCAGAGTTTGATCATAAAATTTTGTAGAGACGTATAGCATGGCCTTTCTAGTAGCTGTTCCGGATAGAAACTTTTGGAAACTTTTATGTCGAATGAAAATGAAATTTGCATAAAAACTGCATTTTCACTTGATATGTCCCTGCACCCTGTTTAAGTTAGTTATAGACTTATAGATGCTCCATACTGATGTGTTCTGAGAAACCACATCATGTATGCAGGCATCCTGCAATCCTATTTTCTGTTCCTTGAATAAGAAATGTTTGAATGAAGCTTAGCAACCTACCGTTATTACTAATAGTCATTTCCTGCAGCCTATGTCTTACAGGAGGGAAAGAAATCAATAATGCGATCATGAGCAGTATACAGGACTTGGCAAAATCATTCTCAAATTACCATGATGAAGTCCTGGTACATTTTGGGTTGTCTCTTGCACTTTTATTCTATGCTGAGTATTGAATCAGTGGATGGATAAATATAACATGTAACTCTTTGCAAAAATTCATTCCTGATTATTCAATGATTGTTATGTAACTAGGGTATGCAGCTGTAGTATATGTTTCTTGATGTCTTCTTTCCAGGTGATTCGTGTTTCTTTATGTTTTACATATTTCTTGCTAGTATAAACACTTAGCTTGCATATTTTTCTTCACAAAAACTCACATAACCTTTTTTTTTTTTTAGAAAAAATGCATTTAATGATATTGTAAACTACCCATTTTTTTAGGACTAAATTATATAACTTTGGGGGTCTTGCTGAGTTTACTGCACATGAAGTTTCTTTATTTCAGTAACGATATATAAAGTAATCCTACCAAAAGGGGGAAGATATTATTAAGACAGAAGGTGACCCCTTCCTTGCATAGGATTATTTAGAAATGTAGTCAGTCACAAACTCACTATGAGTCTATGCTCATGCAATGCATCACTTGATTGGAGTACTGAATGGAATGCTGCTTCACTCCTCTAGACAGGAAGGCCATTGTTCCTTTATGTAGAAAGAATGTAGTATTCAGTATATCCCCCCTTTAATGTCTTTCCACTAGGAGAAAAATTAACTCTGATGCACAAATTGCTAAACTATGCAGAATCTGACTTGTCAATGATTCTCTGTTTCTGTACACATGAAGGTGAAACGTGAAGAGTTGCTTCAGTTTACCCAAAGTGCCATTTCTGGACTAAAGAGGAATTCTGACATTATGAGGTAGTTATAAATCTACTAACAAGCATCTAGACTCTTATTGGGGGAGAAAGGGGGGGGGGGTCCTATGCATTTATTTAGGAATTTATATACTTCTTGTGGACAATTTGAAACTTAAATACTTTTGTTACTCTAATATGTTTATGTCGCTTCAGAATAGATGCTGAAGCTGTAGAGTTGTGGAAGAAACTAAATGAGAAGGAGACATCAAGAGTTCAACAAACTCAAGAAGACCATGCAAAAACTACGGAAAGGACTTCTGCTACAACTGTTGAGGTGTTGCCTCTATTGAATTATATTCAATTTGAGTAAATGATTTACTTTGCTCATTTTACCAATGAGATGTTCACATAGGCTTTCTGGACTTAGTTCAGTTGTTGACTTACAGACAGTCTCATGCACAAATAAGATTGTTCAGGGCCTTCAATTATTCTGTTTGCACTTTTGTTGATACTAGTCTTATTAGAGCAAACGCTGACCATGATAGTCCAATTATTACTAATACTGATCCTGCTAAATCTATGCGGTCCATCTGTGTTCGGTAGTTCAGTACCACGTGGCCCAATTTGGTTTGACCTGTTCTGTCTTGTATTTGAAATGTTTTCTGTTTCACATTGGTTTTAAGAAGCTAACTGAATTCTCTGCTTTGACCAGTCATTCAAAGAAGCACTCTCTGAAGTCCGATTCTGCTCTAGAATGGAAGAGCTTTTACTGAAGAAAAAAACATCTACTGCCGGAGACTCCCTTGAGATTCGTTCCCAAAAGGCATGTTTTCATGTGAATTTATGTATCTCAAATTTTAGCTGGTCAACTTATTTAACTAATATTCAGCCTCATATAATGAATAAGTATCTTAGTCCCATCCCATGGAATGCCATCGCATGTTTCTTAAGTGATTTTTATGCATGCACTCAGTAAAACTTCAACAAGAATATATTTAATCTTCAGCTCTGCAAATTTGCATGCATGCTTCACTGCTCTGTTATTTTTGTTCCTGGGTCTTCATTTTTGGACTTTATACATTGAAGAAATGACCTGATGGGCTATGGGACTCTATTCTTTCTTGTGTCTGTACTTAGATTTACTTTCTAGTTTCTACTGAACAACCTTTGCACTGTGATCCATGTTTGTTGGACGTGAGGACCGTAAAAATCTATTTCTTCTGCTAAAGTTTTGCATTAACATATGCTCTGTGGACCTGTGACTGCTGGTGGCTGGTCACCAATGCCACTGCTGGTGATTGTATCCGTTTTTGTGTTATCTTTTGGTTGAGCTATGTACATGTTAAGTTGTTAACATTTGGGGGGAAATGCACAGGATACAACATTAATCCCATTAGCTTTGCAGGTTGACAAATTAAAGGTCTTAGCAACTTCCCTCTCTAATTCATCTTCCAAGGCTGAGAAGCGTATTTTGGATCACAGGTATAGCTATCTGAACTTATTTCTTTATGAATCTTTTGATATCATTTGTTAAATCTTCATAACATGTTCTAGAAATTTATGTTACTTTAGTGGTGGTTTGTTTACATCGTAATACCTTTTTGCCTTTGTTTTCTTGGGGCTTGTGAGATAGAACAGATAGGCCTTCACAAGTTAGTTTGCCTCTGGGGAATTCACATAAAAGGGAGAAGGTTCATTTTTTTTTGTAGAGTTTTTCAATTGGAAAACTAATACAGAGTAGCTGTATGAACACTTAGAGAAGGTTCTAAAATATGATTATGATGCCCACTATGTTCCATAATCCTATGCACACCTGATCTTGTCAATTTTTACCGCAGCAGTTGATGTTCTTTAGTTCCACACTTCAGATTTGCATGGCACAATCAAGCAGTGCTCGATTCACATAATCATGTTTTGAATTTATGTGATTTTCTTTAGAGATTTACATCTGGCTGGTTGTCGTTATTCTGGCATTTATCAACATCTTCTTGTCTCTGAGCTGTATTCATTGCTGGCCACAACTCAAAAGCATATAATGTTGGTCGCTAGTGTGGTTGTATGCTAGAATTGTTTGTTATATATTTGAATAATGAATTCTTGGTATGAGAAACTTTGTGGTGAACTGGTGGTGACCTTTCAAGTTGTATTGTGCCATACGGATAATAGGCGCCAGAAAGAAGAGGCTCTTAACTTCCGTGCTAAAAAGGAGAATGAAGTGAGTGCAGTTGAAAAGGTAAGAACCATATCTCATGTTTTGGACTCCTTGTACTTTAAGAAGTTAAGAACTCATACATTTCAGATCATGGAACTCAAATTATGACTTTCATAAGCAGTTTTGGAGCTTTCTCTTAACTTATTTCATTACATGTGCTCACTTAAAGGAAGACATCTTGCATGAGCACAAGGCCTTTGGACCTTGGTTTCTGCACATTTGATTTGTATTTGCAGAACATAAGTGCCTGCACATGTAATACATATATTGCATATGTTTACATTGTAAAAGGAATGCATATGCGGGTATTTCTTCACTGTATTATCTGTTGATGCTCATCCCTTTTTGTGAACGTGTCTCTGGTATAGGAGTTGACGGCTGAGATTTCTGAATTGGAGAAGCAACGTGACGAACTTGAGGCTCGGTTGAAGAAGGTGCCTTTTCCCTCATTTAGAACCTTCTAAAGGATTTGTTTGGTTGTTGGCTTCCAGTGCTAGGTTTGATGTGGATATGCAGTTGTTATGTGCCATCAATTTTAAATCTAAAAAATGTAAGATATTTAATCAACTGATATGCCATCTTGTAAATAAGTTTAAAGAGTTATATTCCTTTAAAAATATGAATAAAAATGACAAAATTGGAAATTTGCTTTACAAATATACTCCAGCACCATTCAATCGCGTTACTTTTATCAATATATAGTGGGCTGGTGGAGTTACATTTCTGCTGAATTGTTTCTATAAGAATTATTATTGTTCTGCTTAAGGTTGACATTAGGTTTGTGTTCTTTCTATATCTCTCCACCAACAGGTCAACATTTCACTGAATGCTGCCATTGGACGTCTCAAGCAAACAAGGGAAGAGAGGGATCAATTTGATGAAGCAAACAATCAAATGATATTTAGTTTAAAAGCGAAGGTGCTGATACTTTATTTGTTGATCTGGTTTCAATTTTTTTTTTCAGTTATATTTCTTGCAATTGATTAGTGCTGTTTGTTATCAAAATATTGATCAACTTAATATTTTGTTCTCTTCCCTGGCATCAATCAGGATAATGAACTTTCAAAATCTATTACCTCATGTAATGTGGAGGCTGGCGTAGTCAAGACTTGGATCAATTTCCTTGAGGATACGTGGCAGCTTCAGTCATCATATAATGAACAGAAGGAAAAGAGAACCAAGTATGTAGTGGTTATTGCCTGATTAGGGCCTGTGGCTAAAACATATGTTTACTAAATTCAGCTTTATCTTTTGTTTATGTAGTGATGAGCTTGAGAGATGTACAGACAATTTCCTGAAATTGACTAAATATCACCTTTCTACATTCAAGGTATTTGGTTTGATATATAAACTGTTTGAAACCATTGTTTCACATTCCATGTAAACACACTTTAAATCTGTCTGCTATCCACTCTGATATGTGTGTTATGTCTTTTGGCAGGAAATTCTGAGCCCATCAATTGAGCGAATCTGCACATACGTGGATAATTTGGCAGTTCTGCAGTCAAGGTTGGCCAATTGTTCTTTTTGATATATACAATCTGCAGTAAGGTCTGCCAGAAAATGACCCCAATGATATTGCGATCACGTGTTTGGACGAAATTTGTAGGGACGTGTCAACAGAACATGACAATGAGGAACTATCAGAAAAGACAAGTCCACAGAAATCCCTTGAGGAAGAATATTTGGAAACTGAAAAGAAGGTCCGTACCAAGTACCTTGATTATTGCCTGAATTTACGAGAATCGCACGTTGATTGTTATTAGGGTCATTACTATTTCAACGCATTTTTCTTCAGAAAACCTACACCACGGCATCCCGTGGAGACGGGATCCCCTCCTCCTACCTCACTCCTCTCCCCAAAATCATCCAAATCCTCTCCTCCTACCTCACTCTCCTCCCCCAAATCACACAGCATTGCAGCCCTCCCCGTCGCCTCCTCTTACCTCACTCTCCTCCCCCAAATTAGACGGCACTGCAGCCCTCCCCGTCGCCGTCGCCCACTGCTCACCGGAGCCGGCGGCCGTCGCCGCAGGGGAGGCCGCGACGGCGAGCGCGGTGAGCGAGAGGGAGAACGGGAGCGGGGTGCGGTGGAGCCGGAACGGGGTGCGGTTGCGGCGACATCCTCCATGGCCGGCAGCAAGCGGATCTGCTACAGCGTCGGTGATGAAGACCTCCATGGCCGGCAGCAGGGGTGCGCCGAGCACATCGTCGTCCACAGCCGGCTGAGGAGGCTGGGGAGGCATGGTACAAGGTAGGCACCAGATCTGTTGCCTCCTCTTCCTCCTCCGCCGCCCCGCTGCTCGACCTCCTCGACCCCGCGACTCCTCCTCCTCCTCCTCTCTCTTAGGGTATCACGCTGATACCCAGGTACCAAGGTCTGATACCTAGGTACCAGCTCAATACCCAGGGTACCAGGTATCAGTCGATACCAGGGTACCAGGACCTCCGGACCCCGCGACTCCTCCTCCTCTCTCTTGGGGTATCACACTGATACCCAGGTACCAAGGTCTGATACCTAGGTACCAGCTCGATACCCAGGGTACCAAGTATCAGTCGATACCAAGGTACCAGGGGTACCAGGTACCAGCCGATACCAGTGTACCAGGTACCACCTCGGTACCTTACCCAAGGTACCAGGAGGATTTGGCGGTGAGGTAGCTGCTACTCTGGGTGCTTAGGGGCGACGACGCTGGCGAGGCATCGCGCGTGAGGTAGCTGCTACTCTGGGTGCTCAGGGGCGACGACGCCGGCGAGGTATCACCCGAGCGCGCAATACCGAGGAGAATTTTTGGCGGTGAGGTAGCTGCTACTTCGGCAATGACACCGGCGAGGTAAGGTAGCCACTGCTCCGGCGACGATACCGAGCAGGCAGTGGCTAGGTATCGAGATAAATCACGTGTTCTGTGGGGTGCTCCTTTATGTTGTCGTTGCTTTTTTAATTATCCCGTGAGTGCACTATTTCCACGGTATCCCGTGGGGTAGCAGCCCTCTTTTTCTTTGGGAAAAAAACATTTTTATTTCTGCGGTACAATTCATATCATGAACTGGTATGTTTTTTAGCCTATTCCGCATTGCTTACAAATTAGATATTTTCAGTGAGCTGACAATATGTCAATATTTTTCAGATTGTAATTGCCTTTAGCATCACTGATCACATGAAGAAGCTCTTTTATTCTGAACAAGGGGTTAATTCTAGGTACTGCAAACTCCCGTTTACATACTTATAGTTTCTTTCATCCTTCAGAGTTTTGGAATAACTCCATTTGATTTTCTTTCCACAGGAGGGATGATGAGGACGTCAGGAACTTATTTTCTGAGATAGAGAAACTTAGAGAGAGATTCGAGTCTGTAGAACGACCGACGTTAGACATTGAAGTCCGCCGAGCAAAGGTTCCAACAAAGGAGAGAGCTGAGTCAAGCCCTTCACCAGTTCAGGTACCTTCTACACCTAAAGCTGAAACTGTGGTCTCCCCAAAATCTCCAGCGAAACCTGACCAGCCGCTGGATCTTGATTCTGAACTTGCAAAGTTAGAATTAGAATTTGGTCAAGTTAACAAATACTCACCTGAAGAGATAAGTGGGTGGGAGTTTGACGAACTTGAAGAGGAGCTGAGAGCTGACATCTCCAAATCGCAATAAAAAATAATGACTGCATGTTACCCACTTCGCCGTGTTCTGGCTCTACCCGCAGTTGTATAGTTGAATGTATAGAACTTTCTATTGTGTTCATTGATATTGTGTTACTGTATGAATGCACCCAAGTTAACAAGGAATTCCCTATTTGTTTGTTATTGTCATGGTTTTATGTAACGTGTACAGAAAATATTTCAGTACGTCACATTTGAATGTGCATATAAAAAGATTTAAGCTTGATATTTAAATATTGTTTCATTCAACGGGTACAAGAAAAAAAAATCCTGATGAAGGCCGACGGCCATAGCTGATTGGGCACGTTTACAACCACTTTTTTCAATATAAAATTAGAAGAGATGCATAGTGTATAGACATTCTTGAATACATTGCCACATGAATTTAATTATGCACAGTTATAGAAGTATTATAACAAAACATAAAATAAGAGTACAAGTGTATATTAGCAATGTCCTTAACCTCACTTGCATCCTCCAAGTGACTACTAAAGAAAGAGCAAGCAATAGTGAAAATATTCGCTGCTGGTACATTTGCTGAAGTGATTGACGGGCTTATACTTCTCTTCTTGAATTGGAGCTTTATTCTTCTCTTTCCATGATATTCAATGGGCTTATCGAGTAGAGGACTACGGACGATGAATCCAAACTTGCCGTCTTTCCTTGGCACCAAGTAGAATAGCCCCAATTTTATTCGATTGCTTTTTATATCTACGAAGCGCATGTTTTAAATTATCGAGTGATTTCTTGATGGTGTTTTTATGCTCATGAAAAACCACCCACTGGTGCATACCGTTTGCCTTCAACATTTCGTAGAAAGCTGAAACATATATCGCTTCTGTGCGCAAAGATAGTTCCTTGTGCAATGGTGTCATTCTGAGCAAGAAAGATTCATCACAGGCACCGGTCGTACCATATTGGTCACGGTAGCAAAGCCTAAAACTTTTTCGCTTAATCTTGAATTTCGACATGTCTCTTGATCTCCTGAATAGTAATAGATAAGTAACCAATAATTCATAGTCAATTTTGTGTGACATATAAAGGGATCAGATCAAATTTCAGTGGTATATATAAGAAATTCACTCAATTTCATAAACATGTAATATAAAGAGCAATCCATCCATTCCACGTTATAATATATATGTTTTATCCTTTCTATCCATCATTTAAATTCACTGACATTCATATAAGTTTTGACTTATATATGAAGCACATGCATAGATGCATGTATTCAAACTCAAAATGTCTTGTAACGTGAAACAAAGGTAGTACTTACTATTTACTATTTAGATCGTTATATTAAAGACTTACTCTTACTAATTAGATATCACATTTGTCCCTAAACTTTATTTTAACTCTATTGTATAGCTGTCATAAATAACTTAACTATATTAATTACTCAGTAGACTTGCCATTGGAATCACATAGTGTAATATAAGCTCAATTAACGAAAAGCAAATCATGCATAATAACGGTTGGAGGCATGTTACGAAGGCCTTCGATCGAAGGTGCCGAAATCACCACGCATACGAAGCGACGTTTGACGATCAAAGGATTCGCCCGTTGTGAATCCAAAGAGCAAAGCCATGGTGGCGAAGCCGGAGGGCGAAGCTAGGAGAGTTCGCCACCCCGTCCACGGGATATGTTGCCGAGCTTGCGTCAGAGGTGAAGCCGGAAGAGTTCGCCCGTGGGCCAGATATCTCCGCCAGCAGGACTAGGAGGCCGTATGGCCCAAGAAGGCCGTTCGGCACCTATGGGCCTACCCAAAGGCCCATTTAGAAGGCCCAATGGGTATATAGATCCTGTTTGCGTTTATAGATGTCACTATGGTACTAATGTAAAGTCCCCAGTATACATTAAATCCTAGAGTGCATGTGTTTGTACTAAGACTATAAATAACCTCTAGGGGGATGTAAAGAGGGTTCCCAAGAAATTTCATCAATTAATACATTGTTTTACTATCCAATTATTCCACCGAGAAAATCACGTCCTTCGACGTGAAGCTATTGTCGCTTCGACAACAATAACATTAATGCTGGCCAGCCAATCTAGTAAAGAAAATAATAATAAATAAATAAGCATGTATGCTTATGCATGCGCACATTGACATGCATGTATGCTGCTAACAAAAGCGCCGCGAATCCACAATACGTATGTATGTACCTGTCTCGATCTTGTGCTCTGATCTCCTCCATATGCAGCTGCATGATGCTAAGAAACTCGCCTCAAACTGTATGCATGCCCTAACAAATTGCTGAAACCGCAAACCTTGTACAGTATAAAGTATCGCCTGCAGTCTCCAGCGGCCAATTAATTTGAATTTAAATCGTAGCCTAATCGATTTGGTATATACTAACGAACGCGAGTTGTATATCGGTTTGGTGTGATGCACATGCATGTAGAACCGTATTTGAATTTTGAAGTACGTACAACACGTCCAACCACTCGAACTCGAGGTAGGAGATAGGGACAACCACGAGTCCACGACACGATTTGGCGCAGATAAATTAACCCGAGATGTTTATTAATTTAATTACCACGAAATAGTATTTCCTCTATCCTAAAATATAAAAGATTTTAGATGAATATGATATATCCTCGAACCTAAAATCGCTTATATTTTAGGATGAAGAGATTACTAGCTACTCCGTACCAGTTTAATTTGTACCTATCACCGACATACGGGGCCAAAGGCATCATGGCCCACAAATCAGTGGAGTAGTACTTCGAGTTGGTCCAGGTGCTAGTCAGCCGGCACGGCGGCGGTGACTACTGAATACTGTACTGATTACGTAGACAAGGCGATTCCAATTTGCGTTGACACCCCTGCTTTTTTTCCTTTTTATATATCAAACCAACTACTCTACCAACATGGCAAAACCTCCGAAATCACTAATCAGCGATCGGTCGCGCGCATCCTCCCGCGTGTGACTCGCACGTGGAGAGGAGCTGCGCACTGCACGTACGTACGGTTTCTCCCTTTTTTTTTTGTTTTTTCTGTTTTCTTCTGCCGCGCGTGTACAGTTTCTTTTTTTTCGTTTTTTTCTGTTTTCTTCCGTATTTTCTTTTTTTCTTTTCGTATCTTTTTCATTTTTCCGGTTTTTATAATACGTATGTATATAAACTTTATATACATGTATACAAACTTTGTATACGTGTATACAAACTTTGTATATGTGTAATTTTTTAGATTTTTATACGTACGTATATAAAGTTTGTATACACATATACAAACTTTGTATACACGTCTACGAACTTTGTATACGTGTATACAAACTTTATATATGTGTATAAAAATCTAAAAAAATACACGTATATAAACTTATATACGTGTATTTTTTTAGATTTTTATACATACGTATATAAAGTTTGTATACATATTTACAAAATTTGTATACATGTATTTTTTAGGTTTTTTATACGTACACATAGTTTATATACATGTATATACATATACTACTACATTAGTACAGTATTACACTAGTTCTAGTGTAGTAGTAGTACTAGTAACTATAGTAGAGACTAGAGGACTGAGGGGTGGTCGCGCGCCTGGGCGTGGGCGCGACCAGTCGCCCATTAGGACGCCCCTTTCTCCCTTTGTATTTTTTCCCCTTTTGGGTTTGATCTAATCCATTTAAGAGTGCCACGTTGACATGTGCAATAGATCAATTAGACCACAAAAAGTAACATCGCAGTTCGAAATATTAAAACTGTTCACAACTATTTGTACCAGATGGATGTTGCTCTTCATCTTTTTGGGATCAAAATTTCGTTCATATTTCAAAATACAGGCACTTATACATAATTATGAGATCAACATATTTCCGGGACACACGGACAAGCACAACACCTTTCACAACTGTAGTTAATAGCGAGGGTTTATAAAACGGTGTGATAATTTTTTCTATTTTTTAAACCATGATATATCTCATTGTAACCGTTAAACCATGGGGTGACCACGATAACGTCAGCCCCAAACATTTTGGTAAACCTGAGCTTGACCACGTTACCTAACTAGTACATGATGAGCAACACGGTGAACTGGAGCACCGTCTCGACGCCGTCCGTCTCGTGCTCCGCGGCAGTCGCCGCCACACCTCCGGGCCTCACGACGGCCACCTTGGCGAATCCCTTCACACCGGCGAACTTCCCTGTGCCGCCGACGACGGCGAGGTGCGACTCCGAGTCCGCCGTGCGGTGCACGCCGAAGAAGCTGATGCTGTCGGCGAACTCGCCTTCCTTGAACATCGCCGTCACCACCACCGTCTGGCTCACGCCCTCCTCGGAGCTCGCGATGTAGAACCCCTGCGCCCTGCCCACCGCCGGCGAGCCCAGCCCCGGCGCCTCCGTCAGCTCGTCGTCGACCACCGTCATGGTCCCGAAGAGGAGCTTCTGGAGCGTGGTCCCCTGCGGGAGGCTGCCGCCGGCGAAGACGGGCACGCCGTTGTTGTTGTTGTTGCTGTTCGACGTGAAGGCGGCGTTGGTGGCGCCGCCGAGGCCGGTGAGGAAGGGGATGTTGTTGTTGTCGATGGCGCCGGCCGCGCCGCTCTTGACGTTGACGCCGCTGTTCAGCGGCAGCACGGCGCCGTTGGGCCGCGCGAAGGGGAGCTGGCCGGTGACGGCCGTGTTGTCGACGATGCCCGCCACGATGCGCGCCGACGGGTTCGTCCCGCCGAGGATGTCATGCATGAAGAACACCATAGGGTGGTCGCCGCCGCCGCCGCCGCCGTTCATCCCCACCGCGCCCGCGCCCGCCGCCACAGGGATGGTGCTGGCGCCGATCGGTGCTCCGGCCGCCGCCGCGCCAGCCACAGGGCCCATTGCTGCCGCAGCAGCCGGGACGTCGGCATTGGCAGCAGCCACCGGCGCATCGGCAACACCGGCCGCCACGTCCGCCGCGGCCGGTGCGACAGCGGGCGCGGCAACGGTGCCGTCGTTGGCGACTAGCTGGCGCGTCGGCCTTGCCGCGGCGGCGGCGGACACGAGGAGCAGGAGGAGGAAGGAGGAGATCCCGATCGTTGGCTTCTTGAACTCCATTTGATCAAGCTTCGTTTTAATTAGTGTCTTGTTACTGTTGTTCTGTGACCTATGCTCTCGATCTGATGGTGATGGTTTTACGGGTTTTAGAAAAAAGCTGTATTTATAGCGATGCACATTTGCAAATGCTGATTAAGTAGTTACTTAACCCGTGATTTACTGAGTGTGGTTAGCAGCTTGGCCTTGTGGAGTTGCTCACTTGCTCGAGCGAGTGATTTAAGTTTAACCAAGAGAGTGGTTTAGTTGCGGTCGCACGCGCGCGGCAGTGTCCGTTCGTTTTGGCGCGAGTTGGCACTAGGCCGAAACTGCTCCATTTCAGCTTTCTGCGGCCCAGTTCCCTGTCGTGCTGGAGGCCCAAGGGATCAGACAGGCCGGCCTGCCGCAGATGAAGCAGATCGGATAAAGATCAAGATATTTTAACTTTTTAATTATTTAATATTTATAAAAGTATATTTTTGTTTTAGAGTTTTACATATCAATACCCATAACACTCTTCGGAGATTTCTTTTGAGGACAAAAAAAAATGGAAGGGTGTTTTTTATGGCGTGTCAAATGGCGTTGCCTCACGCTAACGCTAACGGGTGCGATTGCATTTGGGTGTAAAATAACTTTTTTTTTAAAAAAAATGACAACAATACATCATTACAAGATGAAAAGGATCCTCTAACATGAACTTCTCCTGACGTGGTCACTGACAGGTGGGCTCGTGAGTGGTAAAACTCACATGTAAGTCACCACGTTCCTCTGACTTTACATTAGAGGATCTCAATCCATACAAATATACAAGTAAAAATCTGTTTTCTAAAACTTGAGAATATATAACAAATATATGACTGTTAATAATGAGTTTGTTTTAAAAAAATAATGGTAAATCACTGTTGACCTTATCTCGATCGGCCGGCCGCCGCGGAGCTGACGTGACTGAACCGGACACGACGTCAGTGGAACGGCAGGCGCACAGCACCGGAAGGATCCATCTTGGATACATAGCCGCCGTCTGGAACAGGTAATAACTCGTTACAGAACCATCTCTGCAAGTGAGATAACGTGGCATCACAAATGCCATGGGATTAATTCCACGGTCGTCGAAATTAAGTTGAGAAGGCAAAAGGAAAGCAGTTACAAAATCACCCGTTAAAAACGGCGCACATACGCAGCCTTCTCGCTACTACTTGGCTAGCTGTTATAGGGCTCTTAGCCGCCGGCGATCTTACGTCGGCGACCGTCGCCGTCGCCACCGCTTATAGTACATGTTTATCACCACTTATGTTTCGGTCAAACTCACACCGCTCACCGCGCACGAACCGTAACCGTCGCCTCCTCTACTTAATGCCCCTCGTCTCTTCTCCCGCGTGCACCTCACTATACGTACGTTGGCACGTACCACGTACGCACATCCGATCCACATGCCTCCTCTTCTGTATAACCTCTTCGTGCTCATCGTCGTCTTCCTCGGCGGCGGTGCTCCGGCGTGTTCAGCCGCGACGGACACCGTCAAGCCTGGCCATGTCGTCGGCGGCAAGGACAAGGTCGTCTCCAACAACGGCAAGTTCGCGCTCGGCTTCTTCAAAGCCCCGGCTCCAAACCAAGAGAAATGGTTCCTGGGCATATGGTTCAACACGGTGCCCAACCGCACCACGGTATGGGTAGCCAACGGCGGAGAGCCAATCATGGACGCCGCCGACGCCGGCTCGCCGGAGCTCACCATCTCCGGCGACGACGGCGACCTGGTTGCCTTACACCCAACCACCAAGTCAATAGCCTGGTCAACCAACGTTTCAGCCAAGAACTCCACCAGCAACAGCAACAACACTGCAGCCGTCCTTCTGAACAGTGGAAACCTCGTACTGCAAGACACCTCGAACATGTCCCAACCTCGTACGCTGTGGCAGAGCGTCGACCACCCGACCGACACGCTCCTCCCCGGCGCGAAGCTCGGCCGCGACAAGCTCACCGGCCTGAACCGCCGTCTCGTCTCCAAGAAGAGCATGGCCGGCCCGTCCCCCGGAGCCTACTGCTTCGAGGTAGACGAAGACACGCCTCAGCTCGTGCTCAAGCTCTGCAATTCGTCTGTCACCTACTGGTCCAGTGGACCATGGAATGGTCAGTACTTCACTGGCATCCCTGAGCTGATCGGCAATTCACCTGGCTTTCACCTTGGGTTCTTCGACAACAGCAGAGAGGAATATCTCCAGTTCAATGTGTCAAATGAAGCTGTGGTGACACGCAACTTCATCGACGTCGATGGCCGGAACAAGCAGCAGGTTTGGCTGGACAGCTCGCAGTCTTGGCTGACGCTGTACTCCAATCCGAAGGTTCAGTGTGATGTGTACGGTGTATGTGGGGCTTTCTCGGTCTGCAGTTTCAGTTTGCTTCCACTCTGCAGCTGCATGAAGGGATTCACTGTTGGATCAGTGAAGGATTGGGAGCAAGGCGATCAAACTGGTGGATGTGTGAGAAAGAATCAGTTGGATTGTGTAGGTAGCAACACGAGTTCATCAGATTCAACTGATAAGTTCTACTCCATGTCTGATATCATCTTGCCTGACAAAGCTGAAAGCATGCAGGATGTTGACAGTTCAGATGAATGCATGAAGGTTTGTCTGAATAATTGCTCTTGCACTGCTTATTCATATGGCAGTAAAGGTTGCCTTGTTTGGCACACTGAATTGCTCAATGCAAAACTGCAGCAGCAGAATTCCAATGGAGAAATCATGTATCTCCGTCTCTCAGCAAGAGATATGCAGAGAAGCAAGAAACGTAGAGTGATAATCGGTGTCGTCGTTGGTGCATGCGCTGCTGGTTTGGCTGTGCTGATGTTCATTTTGATGTTCATCATCAGGAGGAACAAAGACAAGAACAGGAGTGAAAATTATGGTAGCCTCGTGGCTTTCAGGTACAAAGATTTGCGTTCTGCAACCAAAAACTTTTCTGAAAAGATTGGCGAAGGCGGATTCGGCTCCGTCTTCAGGGGACAACTGCGTGATTCTACCGGCATAGCTGTGAAAAGACTCGACGGTAGATCACAAGGAGATAAGCAATTCAGAGCTGAAGTGAGATCGATCGGAACCATTCAACACATCAACTTGGTTAATCTGATTGGCTTCTGCAGTGACGGCGACAGTAGGTTTCTTGTCTACGAACACATGCCAAATCGATCTCTTGACACACATCTGTTTCAAAGCAATGGCAAGTTCTTGGACTGGAACACTCGCTACCAGATAGCTCTTGGAGTTGCCAGAGGCTTGTGCTACTTGCACGAGAGCTGCCATGATCGAATCATCCACTGCGACATCAAACCGCAAAACATACTACTCGACGCATCGTTTCTTCCCAAGGTCGCGGATTTTGGGATGGCAAAGTTTGTAGGGAGAGATTTCAGCAGAGCACTCACCACCATGAGAGGAACCATAGGTTATCTTGCGCCTGAATGGATTAGTGGAACAGCAATTACACCGAAAGTAGATGTTTACAGCTATGGAATGGTGCTGCTTGAGCTAGTGTCAGGCAGGAGGAACTCAGCCAGATCAGAAGAAGAATGCACTACTACTACCACTACTTCTACATCCACTGACACTGATGGCAACTATTCTGTCTACTTCCCTGTGCAAGCTTCAAGGAAGCTTCTAGATGGAGATGTGATGAGCTTGCTGGACCAGAAGCTGTGTGGTGAAGCGGACTTGAAGGAGGTTGAGAGAGTGTGCAAGATCGGTTGCTGGTGCATTCAAGAGGATGAGGTTGATCGGCCGACGATGGGTCAAGTGGTCCAGATTCTTGAGGGTGTCTTGGACTGCGACATGCCTCCGTTGCCGAGGTTGCTTCAGAGAATCTTTGAGAGGCCGTCTTCAGTTAGCACCAGCACACCAGTTTTCCTTTTTGTCGGTAGCCCTGAACGCCAATGAGAATACAGTATCAGTTTGGAATGTACAGTATATCTGAATGTCTCTCTCTTTTTCTTTTTTCTTTTGTTTTAAGGTTGTTATGTCTGAAACTTTAGTTCATTTTTGTAGTATGTATTGTACTATCACACCACATACCACAAGCAGCTTATACCACTGTAATTTGATCATCAAAGTGTGTATATTCCTGTATTCATTTTGTTTTAAGAAAAGGAAAGAGATTTTGCAGTCGAGAAGAAACAATAGTACATACCACAATATATTCTTGTATTAATGATGCAGTTGAGAAAAAAAAAACTAGTACCTCCAATTTTTTAATATATGACGCCGTTGACTTTGTACATAACGTTTGTCCATTCATCTTATTTAAAAATTTAATATAAATATGTAAAAGTATAAGTTAATATTATAGTTTCTTTGATGATAAAACAAGTCAAAACAAAATAAATAATATTTATATATTTGTTTTAATAAGACAAATGATAAAAATCACGTCAAAAGCTAACTGCGTCGTACATTGAAAATCGGAGTTAGTATAATTTTGGGGAAAATTTCAGAGCAGTAGTTTATGCTAGCACTTGGATTCATTTGGTACTTGTTTTCAAGTTCCATATCTGTGCAGGGGTCTTCCGGCTAGCTCCACAAGGTGATGGGCTAGACGACCTGGGTTCAAAGCCTCACCCCTTCTAATTATTTGATATTAGGTCCTTCCCTAATATTCGAGTTTTTTTTTAAGTTCCATCTCTGTGCAATTATACAAGATAACATCACAATTTACATCCACTGCTATAACACATCACGACTTTCCATAAACTCATCGTGATCTGCATATACAATCTTGGATCCGTGTGTACGTACATGAGCTAAGCTAACAACAACTCTGCATAGCACAGAGCTAAAACGGATCAAAGAGGAAAGGAGAAAACAAGAACACTGGAGAGAGAAAGAGCATGTGTCATGACTTGATCTCGCCGCCGGCGACGGCGGCGGCGGTGGGCGTGGCTGCACCGACGATGGAACGGAAGGCCTTGGTGGTGCAGGGGATGCAGAGAATCCCCCGCTGCTCGTAGCCGAACTCCTGCACCGCGAGGTCGAGCAGCGCGAGGAAGTGCGGCTGCTTGAGCTGCTCCGTGCGCACCAGGATCCTCTCCCTCTCCTCCCCCTGCCCGCCGATCAGGATCGGCACGTACCCTCGCGGCGCCCTCTCCTTCCTCCCCCTCGCCATCGCCATGGCCGCTCTCTCTCTCTCTCTCTGTTTGTTCAGTCTTCTCCCTTGCTAAGAATGCGATCTTGCTGTCCCTGAATTATATAGTGCTTCTTTCTCAGAAAGAGAGAATTACTTAGTGTTTGATTGGCATTGTGTGTGTGGTTTTGCTTTTTTGAAGGAAATGATTGATGATTGGTGCTGCATTACGTAGAAGGCATACATGATGAGCGTAAAAAAATGGTGTGTCTGGTGGAATTGCGGTCTCTGTCAGATGGAATGCTTTGGTCTGCAGATTTTGAACTTTGGAGTATGTAGCATGCTAAGCTAAGCACTGGCTGTGTTGCAGATAAGGCCCTGAAATTAAGTAACCCTTGATATCTTGTGTTAACTTTTTTTTTCCTGGAAAAATGGGCATCTTATGTTCATAGTGAAAGGAAATTGGTTCAGGCCGGCCAGTGGCTGATTTACCTGAGAGATCTTGCAATATGAACGTCCAAACCAATCGAAATTTGCTTAGAATTGATTAGAATGGTTAATTTGCCGCGATCAATATTTGAATAGATCAATTACTGGTCATGATTTGGATGTGTATATCCTTCGTGGATATAGAGACCGGATTAATGAAAATCTATTTTCTAAAAAAAAATTACTGGTCAGGGACCTGATTGATGATCAGTGAATGAGACGAGGTCTTGGCTGTGATTTCTCCTCCTGGCTGAATATAAATTATTTAACAGACGTGGATGAGATGTATTATCCATTCTTCCTTAGTGTGATGCTATTAAGATTCATTTGTTTGCTCGCATTATTGATAGCAAACAAGCGTACTTCGCCGGATTTGAGTTTTGTTTATGCTAGGTCAACATGATATGGCGTTGATATTTTGCATGCATCATTGCAGCGACTTGTATCTAGTTTATACTACCCCATTATATCTACTTACCTAGTGCTCTTTTTGTTGTGGGGATAGAGACTAAGTCAACTCAGAAAGTAAGGTTTATTATTAACTGGAATCTGGATTAGGCATGATGCAACTATAAGTGTCCAATGATATTTTGCCATTTGGCCAGCAACTGATGGAGAGTTGAGGGTACCAGTCTGGTGAAACTGGTGGACCGAATTAATATCTATCGCCCATGTATTTACTATTTAGCCTATGGTTTGACTTATCCATTTGCTCATATGAAATACGGAGTATTTTACAAGGATATGAAAAGATTGCAACTTAGAAAAGGTATAGGTAACATTTTTACAACTTGTAAAGGTATTGTGAAAAATCACAGAAAACGCCTTTTGGTGCAAGCAAAACCGGCTGCACGGAATCTCAGCCGTTGGATAGTCACGTGGACGGAAGCAGATTGGCCTTTCGGGAAGGAATAAGTCGACTCTAACTCCCTCAATATAGGTCCGATTTAATTTGTATCCTCGACTGCAATACTAGATATGTTGATCCCCAACTACTTAAAAACTGGTGTAGTTTGGCTTTCTGGACTGTTTTGACAGTGGTTTTCATTGGTCGATTGGCGTGGCTAGTTAACTTGGTCAAAATAGTCGAGTCACCATGTGGGGCCCACATGTCAATGTTTCCTCCTCTCTTAATATGGTTTTAACAGTTGGAGTCATTATATTTGATTTTGCCGTTGAGGGATAGATCCGATGTATATTTAAGGGACTCAATGCAGACTTATTCCTTTCGGGAGTACTAGTACATGCGCTTGGGCCTGGGCTAAGTGCTTTTCAATTGGGTATTGGACCATATTTCTGGCCCAATAGGAATAACTGCCATCTCAGGCTCTCGGCTGCACGGCCCATTGATTGGGGAAATATGGGCTTCGGCCATCTTTTTTCGAACACACAAAAATTTATCATGTCATACTAGTAGGAAAAGGAGTACATCTGACATTCGTCGGAAATGGGACAAATCCAAAAATGTAAAGGAAAGCTAGCAGCGAAAAAGGACTAGACGGCGAACAGTACTCATAATAGGCTTCGTCCATCACTTTTGCAATTTTGAGGTAAATTTCTCAATCCTTTTGAAACGCAAAATAACATGATTTAAACGTATTGAAATCAAAATATTGTATGGTTGTGTCGTATCGCATGTGCATCCGAACGCCAGACTCGTTAGTTCTCCAGAAATTCTTACAAACAAAAGTATTGACTCCAGACCTCACCCTTCATATGCCGTAAAAATGGTTTTGTTTGTAAAAATGGCAGCAAAATTGTAGAAAAAGAGCTTCATGCGCGTAAGAATGTCAGAATTGCACTCTGTATCACCCGCTTACGCATAACGTAAGTCGAAAGCTGAGACAGAGCATCACTGATGCTGGACTCAATAACTTCTTTGGATCACTCAAGAGTCTGATCTCATCACACGAACATTCAAACTGTAATCTCAAATTTCCGGATAAAATCATAGCTCTATAGTCTATACTAGTAATAAGTACGGTCATGTAAATTTCGTTGCAAGAGCCAAGAGGTGCATGGCTACATAGTTTTTGTTCAGTGAAGTTGTTCTTCTATAATACTCAGAAAAGTACCAAGTGGTTCTTATAAAACTTTTTTTTTATTATGTCCCGTTCTGAAAAGTAACACTCCTTCCATCTTTTTCTCAAAAAAAAAAGAGAAAAATATCTACTAAGTCTTGACAGCCAAAGTCATGGTTTGGCGATCAAGGCAACGACTAGGATTAGGAAGCTTCGTGTCAACCGATTAATTATCTAATTAATTAATTAGCCCATCTGCTTACTTAAACGAAACAACCGTGTTTAATTAGGCACTAAGCGTTGGCACACTGAAGAAGTAACCATGTCCGGGCACGCCGCGCCGGCGCCGCACGTCGTCGAGGACTATCGCGGCGTCATCCAGCTCCTCAGCGACGGCACCGTCGTCCGCTCCGATGCCGGCTCCGGCGCCGGCGCCCTGCTGCCGCCGGAGGACTTCCCCGACGTGCCGGGCGTCCAGTGGAAGGACCTCGTGTACGACGCTACGCACGGGCTCAAGCTACGCGTGTACCGGCCGCCCACCGCCGGCGACGCCGAGAGGCTGCCGGTGCTCGTCTGCTTCCACGGCGGCGGCTACTGCCTCGGGACGTTCGAGAAGCCCAGCTTCCACTGCTGCTGCCAACGCCTCGCGTCGGAGCTCCGCGCCGTCGTGCTCTCCGCCGACTACCGCCTCGGCCCCGAGCACCGCCTCCCCGCCGCCATCGACGACGGCGCGGCTGTCTTGTCATGGCTGCGTGACCAGGCCATGTCCGGACCGGGCGCCGATTCCTGGCTCGCCGAATCGGCCGACTTCGCCCGCGTGTTCGTCGCCGGCGAGTCGGCCGGCGGCAACATGAGCCATCACGTCGCGGTGCTGATCGGCTCGGGCCAACTCACCGTCGACCCGTTGCGCGTCGCCGGGTACATGCTCCTCACCCCCTTCTTCGGCGGCGTCGAGCGCGCGCCGTCGGAGGCAGAGCCACCGGCCGGCGCGTTCTTCACGCCCGACATGTCCGACAAGCTGTGGCGTCTGTCGCTGCCGGAGGGGGCGACGAGGGACCACCCGGTGGCGAACCCGTTCGGACCGGACAGCCCCAGCCTAGCGGCGGTGGCGTTCCCGCCGGTGCTCGTCGTGGTGGCCGGGCGCGACATCCTCCATGACCGCACCGTGCACTACGCGGCGAGGCTGAAGGAGATGGAGAAGCCGGTGGAGCTCGTCACCTTCGAGGAGGAGAAGCACCTGTTCTTGTCGCTGCAGCCATGGAGCGAGCCAGCCAACGAGTTAATCCGAGTCATGAAGCGATTTATCCACAAAGATGAAGGTTCTAATAACTTCTAAATCCAAGTAAATTAAGTTGGATCAGTAGAGATGCATGGTTGGTGTTCTCATGTGGTCTGAATCTGTGTTCTGTTTCATCTTTTGTGTAAGTGTGCAACTTCGATTCTGTAAAACTTGGCAAGTAGATGAACGATGTCATTTATATGCGTGTAGCTTGTCAAAATACAAAGTAGAAACCTGTATCTGAATAAGATGGCATTCATGAAATAATATTATCGATTGAACGAACGAAGCAACAGAATGATCTTCCAAATTGAAGCAAAGGAATTGATGGACAACGAGTTGCTGTACTTTGGAGCTGTAAATCTGTAGTACTTCTCAACGATGCTATGGACCGTGGGCCGTCCATAATCGCTGGGTGGAATGAGCCCACTGTCCATGTGCTTCTGCATTTGGCCCGTGTACAGCCCATATAATGTCGAAAAACCTAATACGCGCGCGCCGCCGGCGCGCGTTTCGGACCCAGAACGCCTAGCGCCGCTGCGCCGACGTGCGCGCGTCTCCACTTTTTTTTTCGTTTTCTTTCCATTTTCTTTCCTTTTTTTCCATTTTTTTTATTTTTTTATCTTTAGCATGTTTTGAGTTTGAAAGTTTTTAATTTTTGAGTTGAAAAATTTCAAATCTGAACTTGAAAGTTTTCAAATCTCGAGTTGAAAGTTTCAAATCTCGATTTTGAAAATTTTCAAAATTTTCAAATCTTGATTTGAAGGTTTTCGAATCTCGAGTTGAAAGTTTTCAAATCTCGAGTGGAAAGTTTTCAAATCTTAAATTGAAAGTTTTCAAAATTTTCAATCTGGACTTGAAAGTTTTCGAATCTGAGTTGAAAGTTTTCAAATCTTAAGTTGAAAGTTTTCAAATCTCAAGTTGAAAGTTTTCAAATTTAAGTTGAAAGTTTTTAAATTTTGACTTTAAAATTTAAAACTTAAATCGAAAGTTTTCAAATCTAACTTAAAAAATTTTCAATCTGTTAGTAAAAAAATCTCCAGAATTTTTCTAATTACTATTATTAGTGTTAAGTATATTAACTAATTTAGTTAGTTAAGAGTAGACTAAAGGGGAGAGGGAGTGCTCGCTGCTGGTGCGCACGCGCCAGCTAGTAGCCCCCATACAATGTAGATGGCTTGTCGTGGCTGCTGTGGCGCATGTACCCGGATGTACCTCCAAGAATCGTACTAGTAGCATTTGCGGGCAAACTATAAACTCGATAAAATATTCTATCGTTATTTACACGTGATTTAAATAGTTATGAATTTTTTAAAAAAATTATGTATATTAAAATGTGATATATCACCCTACAAACGTGCAATATCAAAATTAATTTCCATATGTCACAACTAAAAAAACAAATTTAAATGTATATGTTAATTAGTTATAGTTTAATTTGTTTTTTTACAACTTGATAAGTTTAAATTATAACTTGTATGTTTGTGGAATGATATATATCACCTGTAAATATATATTCTCAAAAGTATTTTTAAAATTATTTAAGTGAAATGCAAACGACAAGGCGATAACCTCCCGATAGTTTAAAACTCATTCTTTCGTTTGCGTGCGTGACTCTCCAAGTACTCCCTCCGTCTTATTAAAAATCAATCTAGTACCGGATGTGACACATTCTAGTACTATGAATCTGAACATACATATGTTCAGATTTATCGTAATAGAATATGTCACATTCGGTTTTGGCTCAAGTTTTGTGTTTTATGGGACTGAGTGAGTACGTACTTTCCAAGTCAATGGTCACGTGCTGGTGACTGATCCTGTGATGTTGGCAACTCCACGTCGACAAAAGCACATGTAGACGGAGTACGTACCGAGGTCGAGGAGGCATAGGCTGCTCTGTCCATTCATCAGACGAGGAAGCGAGAGTACGTACTCGTTGATGAGCACCATGTCCGGCTCCGGCGACAACGCGGCGCCGCACGTCGTGGAGGACTTCTACGGCGTCGTCAAGCTCCTCAGCGACGGCTCCGTCGTCCGCGGCGACGAGTCCGTCCTCATCCCGTCGGTAGAGCTAGCTGCCGTACCAGGACGACGTCCCCGGCGGCGTTCAGTGGAAAGACGTCGTGTACGACGCGACGCACGGCCTCAGGGTCCGCGTGTACACGTCGCGCACGGCCGCCGCCGCCGCTGCCGGTGACGATGGAGGTAAGCTCCCCGTGCTCGTCTACTTCCACGGCGGTGGCTACTGCATAGGCGCCCTGGACCAGTCCATCTGCCACGGCTTCTGCCTCCGCGCCGCCTACGAGCTCCCCGCCGTCGTGCTCTCCGTCCAGTACCGCCTCGCCCCGGAGCACCGTCTCCCGGCGGCCATCGACGACGGCGCAGCTTTCATCTCCTGGCTGCGCGGCCAGGCCGCGCTCGGCGCCGGCGCCGATCCGTGGCTCGCGGAGTCGGCCGACTTCGCGCGGACGTTCATCTCCGGCTTGTCGGCCGGCGCCAACTTGGCCCACCACGTCACGGCTCGCGTCGCCTCGGGGCAGCTCGCGGCCGTCGACCCGGCGCGCTTCGCCGGGTACGTCCTCGTCGACCCGTTCCTCGCCGGGGTGGAGCGCACGGCGGCGGAGGCCAACCCGCCGGCCGACGTCTCCACGCTGACCGTCGAGATGGCCGACCAGATGTGGCGTATGTCGTTGCCGGTGGGCGCGACCAGGGACCACCCGGTGGCGAACCCGTTCGGCCCGGAGAGCCCCAGCCTGGAGGCGGTGGCGCTCCCGGCGGCGCTCGTCGTGGCGTCCGGCGGCGACGTGCTCTACGACCGCGTGGTGGACTACGCGGCGAGGTTGAAGGAGATGGGCAAGGCGGTGGAGCTCGCCGAGTTCGAGGGAGAGCAGCTTGGCTTCTCGGCCGCCAAACCATCGAGCCCAGCGATCAAGGAGTAAATCCGAGTCCTGAAACGGTTTGTGCACCAAGGCATTTGAATGCTCGTCGTCGAAACAAGATTTCGGCAATAATAAAAAGGGGTGGCTATCAAGTTAGGAAAGTGGATAGGTTTGAAGACAAGGAATTTTATACAGGTTCAGGCCTTCTTATTCAAGAAGTAATACCCAACTCTTGTCCGGGGATGATTCCGCCGAGTATGTTATTGATTGCATAAACTGGAAAAAAGATCACGCCCTAAGAGGCACACAGACCTCTCCTTATATAGGGGAAGATGTCCGCTTTACAAAATACAGTCCATATCCTAACGGAATATGGGATTATAGATAAAATACAATCGTAACTGACTAAGATCCCGAGTATTTCCTTGACATACAAGTTTAGAATCTAACCCGAGTCCTCATAGAGATATTCTATCTATATTTGGTACCGTATATCCGACTAAATTATAATGTCATGTAGATATGGGGTATCCATAATCTCCACAGTAGCCCCCGAGACCTTCGCAGTTGACAAAATAGCCTTCTCGAAACAAAAAACAATAATCCGAGTGCTTTAATTCAACTTGCTCCAGCTTGCCGAGTGCTAAAATCAAAAACTGCGAAGGGCGAAAATAAAACATGGTGCATCGAGTAGATGCACCTAATTAGGTGTAACCCCCGACTATGTAATTAGTTGAAAAACTAAACATGTAGTCAAGAACCGAGTGGTTTTATAGCGAAGCATGCATGGTACTTAGTAAAATACCCAGCCGACTGCTTCTCAACTTGAACATATCAAGGATAAAAAATACAAAAAGGGCCGAGTGATAAACACTCAAAAGGTCCAAAAATAGACATATTTGATAGGAATCCGAGTAAAAAACTCTTAAAATGATCCACCAAACATGATAAAAAATCATGGTAATCAATGAGTCTAATAGCCTAGGCTATGACCCTTACCATAACTAAAATAAGCATATAACATGCTAAAAGAATGACTATTAATAAACCAGTCATCTTAAATCAACCCAAACAGCTTTTGCAGACTAAGAAAGCTTACAAAAACGGTATAACACCTTTCTGTCGGGCACCTTTTTATGTGCATCATAATAATTCCAAAGAATTATTGAATCACGTTAAAAAGGATTTTAACAGCATCTGGCCACATCATCGTGAGCACAAATTGCCAAAGCAAAAAGCGCCTAAGTCCCTAGGGATCACAACGGGCCACGCTGATTATAATATTGGGCTGAAGTACTGTACAGGACCAGGCCCATTAGTACTCCCGATACCCTAAAAACACCGAAGTCCAAGCGTCACATCGTCTTCCCCGCCGAAACTCTCGCCATTTTCCCCATTTCCTGCTACAGTACCAAACTGCGCCGGCCAAACTAGGGTTCATCAATCCGCTCCAATCCATCTTCAAAAACCTTACGAAATTTCTCCCCGCGTCCACCGCTCCGATTCCCCATCCCTTTCCAGCCGTATCTCAGACCAAATTAAACCATCCAGTTCACATTCATGGCGAAAGAAAGAGAAAGCTTTGAGAGTCAGTGGGCGCCCTCCGATGTGACGGAAGATAATCTGAAGGAGATGGTGGCGCACGGCGTTCTTCCAGCGAAGGAGATCATCGGGTGGCGACCAGCATTCGGCGAAGCATTCCCAACCCCCGATACGCATGAAATCGTGGTATTTGCTCATTTCTTCTATGGCGGTTTCTCCCTTCCAACCTCAAGATTTTTTCGGGGAATTCTGAATTTCTATGGAATCAGCCTGCATCATCTGAACCCAAACTCCATAGTTCACATCACCAATTTCATTCATGCCTGCGAAGCCTTTTTAGGTATTAGGCCACATTTCGCCTTGTTCCGCCGCATCTTCTTCCTCAAACCACAGCCAAACAAGAGCAAACCATGTGTTGTTGGGGGGGCTGGTTTCCAACTCAGGGGAACCTTAAGCCAAAAATACTTCTCTATGCCCTTCAAAACCTCAAACAAAGGCTGGCACGCAAACTGGTTTTATGTTCAAAACCCTGAGCCTGCTCTCCCCGAGTACTCCTGTCTTCCTCCAGTTTATCGGGATACTTGGAACTCACTGCCAATGGGAGATGAAACTGCGCAAGTAGTGGAACTGATGGAGAGGATGATAAAGCTAAAAGAACAAGGCCTTCAAGGAGAACAGATCACCCGGCACTTTATCAAGTGTCAGTTAGCTCCAATCAAAGAGAGATCTCGCACAGCCTTCGAATTTGACGGCAAGCACGACCCAAACCGTGAAGATCCAGATTCTCTTGACTTCAAAGTCATGAAGGAAAGGATGTATAAGATCTTCTCAAATGCTATCGTTGTCAGCTATTCACACTTGCTGCCAG